GTATCCTAGCATATTCTTATTTGAATTCTGCCAGATTTATCCACAATGACTATTTGATTTATCCACAGTAACTGTTCCTCAACTACCCCTTTTTACTTCCCCCACAGCATTAAGTTCATTTTGTACTTCATCCTTTAGTGCCAGTGGAACCTACCAAGGTGCATGAATTACTGGTGCTACCTGTAGATTTATTTTTTTTTATTGAGTGCTGAGGCCTTGAAGCACATGGTGCAATCACTATAATCATCCCATTGATCTTCTTGGTCTGTTTCTATTAAATTAATTCTTTCTACCAAATTTAAATTAGTCATGGTCTCTGGACCCATTACAGCTTATACATCCAAATCTATTACCTAGGATTCCAGCTGAGTTGCTTTGTCTTTATACCTGCTATTCAGGTTACATTTATCAAAAGTAGGCAATCTCCCCACCAGCACCACTAAGTAGATTCCTTAACTAGAGTTGTAGTCTTGGAGTAGGTTCAGCTTGCATTGCTTCCTAAGTCACTGAAGTCATTCCATTCACCAGTATGGTAGCACTGCCATTTCCTGTTGATAAATGGCATTTATTGGGAACACAGAGTCCTACACATACCTCCACCCCAAAATGTTCTGTGTGGAACATGACTGCACTTTGTTCTGAAAATCATGAGAAAGACAGTAGACACAGCAAATGTTGCTATATTTTATATGCATGTACTTAGTGGTCTAGATTAATTGATCACTAAAACCACCAAATAACCTTTTAAAACCAAAAATAGACACCTAAGCAACAGATCAAATTTCTTGGTTTCTTAGAGAAAAAAAAGGCCCTCTACCAATCACCTTCCAACCTAGCCATGTGACTTGACATAGAACACACATATTCCTTTTGTAACTGGTAAAGTTTGAGATACTTTTGACCCAGTTAAGTTGTTCCCTCCAGCATAATTATCATCTATGATAATCGCAGCAATAATTTTCAAATTACAGACTAATAAAACCTTTTAATTTGTTAGGATTCATTGAGGTCAGTTTTATAGGTTCCTTACGCTACTAAGAGTGTAATGGTAATTTATTTTTAAATGTTATAATTACTTTGGCTGGTTATAGATGTACATAAATAGGTATTCCTCTTTTAAAGATTTGATTAAAGAACCCTGTTAGTTAAAGAAGATACTTAAGAACCAAGACATAGTTATAAGGATTCTAGTTCAAAGATCCAGTATTAGGATTTTGCTCATATCTGTCTCCATTCACTTCATGCCTAGCTTCTAGATGGATTCCTTTTCTTCTCTCCAATATCTCCATTAAGAATATTTTAATGATCATATTTGAAACAGAATTTAACTCTATTGCTAGTTTAATTATATTTTAATTTCTATATGATGTGAACTTTTAGCTGTATCTGTTTTAATTTTTGTAAGCCATCTTGAGTCCAAGAATGGAGAAAATATATAAATATATTATTATCCTTCTCTCAACAGCAAATCCAGTATGAAACCAGATGGGAGCCTTTTTCCTCCCTGTTACTTTTGGTTAAAAAAAAATAGCTTCCAATCCTTGTATCTTAAAAAGGTTATTTATGCCTATCTCAGAAATATGTGATGGATGGAAAAGTAAAGCAGCTTTCAATCAAAAGAAAGATTGTCTGATACAGGGAGAAATGATACTCCCAAATAAGTCTGTAGAATGGCAGGCTTGGGGACTGAAATGAACACTTACAGTTTAATATTTGCAAAGGGTTTTGTAATCGACATGGCCTACTTTTTCTTGACACATAAAGTGGTAGAATAGAATAGCATTTCATTGTATGGACAAATTCTATCTCTACAGTGGACATGTCCAATAATGTGTAGGCAATATGCCAACATATTTCCCTGCTGTCCGATTCACTTGGAGAAATTGCATTCCCCTGGGAATGATAATTTGTGTCTGGTAACTACAACTGTGACTTTCTTTACTAAAAAGACACTGTGGACCAGCTACCAATGGGTCATACAGCTGCACTGGTACCACTATTTTGCACAAATTCTCACAAAAGCAAAGATGTATCAGGTTTTCATCAAGCAGCATGGTTTATGTACACATCTGAAAAGCCATAGTATAAACATTTTAAAAGGAGTTCACTGTGAATAAAAGGGTATAGGGGTTTTGTGTGTGTGTGTGTGTTTGCAGTAGAGGAATGGCCATAGCTTAGAGCACATGTCCAATGATTGGTGTAAAATAGTTCAAATATAGGGTTCTCGATACAGAATTCTCCTTTCACTAATCTTTGGGTCACATCCAAAGACTGCTTGGTTTTTAAAGTAAATTATCCAGAGCTTTGGATATATATTGGATATATATTCTTGGGGTTGTAGTCATATATAGGGACAAATATACATAGTGGCCATATTATCTGGGAGATTCTGAACATTGTTGTCCAAAAAAGTAAATTTCCCAAGATCTAAAATAATTAAAGTCAATATGCTGTTACTGGGAAAATCCATTTCTCAACTACTATGAGGACTGCTACTAAGTTCTGGGTGCAAGGAAAATCAGAGACACGGGGCTATGGGGGGAGACTGCATATACCACTGACATTGCCAGTGTTTGGTAAATTTTTGGACTACATCTCCAAGAATTCTATGGTCAGTATAGCCTGTGGTGATAGCCTCTAGAAGTTGTAATCCAAAAAAGGAATTTTTTCAAGCTCTGCTTGTTCTTGCTCATAAAAATTACTTGCATTTCAACCCAATGAGCCCATGTTTCTCTGTAACGTTGCTCTTTCGGATGTCCAGGTTATATCCCAGTAATGTTAGCAGGGAAAAAATCTCATTTCTTCCAGTTTCTATATCCTCTAATTTTTGACAAGAACACACCAGGCACTCCCATCTGTCTGATGCTGTATTGCTTCTAGCCAATGAGCCTTCCATCCTAATAAATACCCTAGAATGTATGCTCTGTGAGACCCTTAAATTCTACTGTTGAAAAGTATTATAGTTGGCCCTCCATATTCACAGATTCTGCATCCACAGATTCAAGCACCCATGGCATGACAATATTCAAAAGATAAATAAATAAATTCCAGAAAGCAAACAATTTTGCCATTTTATATAAGGGACACCATTTTACTATACCATTGTATATAACTGGATTTCAGCTTCCATGGATTTTGGTATCCATGGGGGTCCTGGAACCAAACTCCAGCAGATACAAAGGACCCATGTTATTTATTTATTTACTTATTTAATTTCATATCCTGCCTTTTTTCGAGGATGGGATTCAAAGTGGCTTATAACAATTTAAAAGTGGCAACTGAACTCAACTAACTGTATGACTGGCTGAACATGCATAGAATCTGGTGACATGTTCTCCACAAATCTGTCAGCTCTATCAATCAATTCATCAGCCAAAACAAAAATATTATTTCATTGTAAAGTTATAGCACTCCATTTTGGTTTATAAAAATTAGTAAAGACCGACTACTGCAACAGAGATATTCTGGACATAGATACACAGTTTTTAGCAGACAACCTCGTCTTTCTCAGAAAATAAATATAGTCATGATGATCAAATCTTTTCATGAAAGAGATTAATTAACTGATGTAGAAAGATGGCTTACAAGCATCATTTTGCCCTGAAAATGTGGAACTTTCATCTGGAACATTTTGTGTCAGTTTCATTAACACCCGAAGTAACGTTCCCTTAGTTTAGAAGATGACTGTTAAGTGCAATGTGAGGATTTAAAGTACCATTCATTTGAAGAAACTGCATTTTCTTGAGCAAAATGCATGATAAAATTCACTGAGACACAATTCTGTAGATGGGGCAGAGGAGATGTGAAGTTAATGTGCATATGTTTTTGTTTCTATAAAACCTACAGTTTTAAGATGTAAATCATGAACTCATATTCTTTACCAATGTGGGTAATCAAGATTCAACTAATAGGTTTAGCGAGTTGTAAAAAGTCAAACTGAATTCTGGCAAAGAACATCAGGTCAAATCACACAGAGTGGTGAAGAGTATTGAAAGAGTTCCATTTCAAGAAACTAGTAATTTTCTGGCCTGATGAAGAACTGACTAAAGAGAACCAAATGAAAAACAACAATGTTGATGTGACAGGGCTTGAAGGAGAAGAAGAAGAAGAAGGGGACAAGAAGAAGCCAGAATTGACCAAAAACAGAAAACTCAGTGATTGTTTATAAGTAGTTTGATGTGTTTACTGTTTCATGTGACACTGCTTGCCTAGTTAAGGAACCACTTGCACCTTAATATAAACAGTGTACAGTCTGACATCTGTACCTGAAGAAAATATGTTTCCAGATTTAATGTGGATAGCAAGAACTGCAGGTAATGGCGAAGGCTATATTTCTGTCATATGTTGACCATAGAGTCACATTGGAGGACCTCCAGATGCCTAGAGAGGTGGTCTAGATGCCTAGAGAGATTCCCCCCCAACTCAGGTACTGAGGTTACTGATCCCACAGATACAGGAGTCAGATTGTACTCTGTTAAGAATATGTTCAACGGTGGCTGGTGGCTCCCATGTCAGTGGGGCCATAATCCAGGTTTTAACTCAAGATTTAAAGCAGGGGTAGGCAACCTTTCCCCTTTAAGGGCCGAGGGACTTCAGCTCCCAGAATCCCAGGAGCTATTGTCCAACATGGGACTATTGGCCAACTTGGCTGAGGCTTCTGGGAGCTGAAGTCCCTCAGCCCTTAAAGGGGAAAGGTTGCCTACCCCCGATTTAAAGGAACTCTTCAAGGTGATGAACCTTATCACCTTTATAACCTGAATTACAGCCTGGAATGGATTCACATTCCACTGACAAGAAACCAGCAGCCTCTGCTGTAAAAGATTTTACAGAGCAGTTATTAGATCTTCTGTCCTCTCCTTGTTGGACTTACACAATGTTAGCAGCTGCCCTTCCGATCCTCACTGTTACTGTTGTTCTTATTTCCAAAACTTATACTTACTACCATAGAATGCAAACAAAGCAAATAACAACTCATTATATTAATAGCTAACTATAATTTGGGCTTTGTGTGGCATAGTGGTTTGAGTGCTGGACTACCACTCTGAAGACCAGGGTTCAATTCCCAGCTCTGCCATGAAACTCACTGGGTGACCTTGAACAAGTCACATGCACTCAGCATCAAGGGAAGACAATGGCAAACCTCCTCTGAGCAAATCTTGCCAAGAAAACCCCATGATAGCTTCACATTATGGTCACCATAAATTGGAAACAATTTGAAGACACAGACCTTCAGAGACCTTATAGAATGAGGTAGTGAGAGAAGCAGGCAACAGGTTTATCCCCGGTGTAGGCAAAGCTATGTTATCCTTACAGAGCAAGAAAGTAAAATGTGTGATTTTGGATTGCAGCTGTTATCATCCCTAGGCTGTGAAGCCAATCTGAAGGATGATGGTAGTTGTGGTCCAGCAATACTTGGAGAGCTGCACATTGACCACACCTCTTCTAGAGAGATCTGTGTGCTTGGGCCAATGCAGGCCATACTTTCCCAGCCCTGCTCAATATAGATCTTTCAAACCACAATCTCAGAATGCCATTTAATCTCATAAACTGGCCTCAAGAGAAAAAGTATAAGAAACAATAGCGGAAATTTAAAATTTTCCTTGGCTTGCTCCCCTTAACAAGTGTGGTATAATATTTACATTGGTTATTCATCTACAGATGATGTCATATTTTAATAATTATGCAGAGAGAAAAAAATCACTGCTATTTGATCCAGAAAATCTACATGAATTATATTGTTTTGTTTCTACAAACCTTGGGGAACATGCTAGCAGGTCACTGAATCTACTCTGGGTTTTTGTCCAAATTTTAAATGAATGATTGAAAGTGCCAAATCCAGTCTCAAAACCTTCAGAACCTTGGATGGATCTATTTACCATTCATACTAAAACCTGGAGCAGATTCATTACCCCACTGCACATGGAACTCACTGGCCACCACATACCCCAAGACCACTACTTTTAAACCATGTGATATATTCTCTTTGACTGCTTATGTTGTTAACATCTGATCATCCAACATCATGCTGTAAACCATTATTAAATTGACTTGAATATTAAGCTTTTCACCAACATTTATCCAGGATGGGAAAATTAAATCTTTTTTTTTTTTTTTTTTTGCATGTAAGCAATGGCATGTAATTAAAAACAACAAATAAGAGTCACATTCCATAAGAACATAATTATGTTCACGTGGGATGGCTGTAATTGAAAGACAGAAGATGTTTCATTCTGTATTAAAGGAGAATTTCTTTCAGAGGGCTTCCTGCAGCTCATTAGTTATTCCCAGGGTGCTTCTCCTAAGTAATTAGATTTTAACAGGATTTTCAACAGATCAGAGCAATCTCAGTGGGTGCCAATAGGATACACTCCCTCTGGCCTTACCAGAAGCGCAACATGGATAACATCCAGGCTGGAAGTTAATAGGGACCATTACTGGTCTCTTTTAAATGAGTTACATTAATGCACTTAAGCTAAATGGCTCAGTGTATGATTAAATATTAACATCTGCAAAATAGGAAATCATGGTATGCAATCAAGTTTTGTTGTTTTAGTTTCCCCCAACATAGGGTTTCTTTTTCAGATGCATATGTAAATATTTGACGGATGGGATATATTAAACTTTCAAGACCCTAATGTGCCATCTTGGCCAATTTCATTTGGAGGTCTGCAAAGTTACAACATCTTAAAGAGTAAAAAAGAAGAAAAGTTACATTTTTATAATTTCTTCAACACTGTGAGGGATTGGAACATATTTTTCCCCCAGGGTGCTAATAAGAGATGTCTGCCACTACTGTAAATTAGATTCTATCACTGCCCTAGTACAAGCCTGTGATAGAATCACTGCCCAGTAAATTAATAATGTTTCTGAGTATATATTGAAAAACTTCATTTAATGATTTCACTAATCCCTCATTGTACCGACCTGATTATACAATAGGCTGGCTAGACTGGCCTAAAGATTTTGTATTGGAATATGGAAATGGGCCTCAGTTCAATAAGCTGTATAAGCATGCAAAGTTAAAGTGACAAGGCCCTGTGAGACTGAAGTGTGTGACTAAATTCAACATGTATTTAAGTGCATCCGCTGAAATGGAACTCAGGTTGGATATGTTTACCTGAGTGTAAAAACATGGGGCACAGATTTTTTGGTGGGAGGTGTTGTATGGTTGTTCTGTATATTATTCATTGGAGGGTCTAGTATTTTTGGATTGGAACCCTGTCACTATGGACTACACTGGCTAGGGTTCATGGAAGCCTCTATTCAATAACATATAGGGAGGCCACACATTTCCCACCTCTGATTTATTCCATATGGTAGGTGTTTATCTTAGTCTTGACTAGAGTAAACCTACTGAATAAATAGAACTTACCTATGTGATGACTCACCAGTCAATAATTGATTCAGTACCCTTCAACAGTATATCATTATAGCACTTTGAATTCACTTCAATGTGAATTCACTATGTACTGCAGGATTTGTAGTCTAGTGAGCCACTAGAATTCTCTAGCAGAGATTTATAAATACTTCATGGAAGTACAAATCCCAGGGTTCCATAGGATGGATCCATGACAATTAAATGAAATCAAAGTGCTATAAATGTGTAGTGCAGGTGGGCCTCCAGAGATTCTATTCTAGTCAGGACAAGTCAAAAGGATAATGCTCAAGGTCACCACTTTAAGCTTGCTATATTGGTTAGGGATTTCTGTAGAATCTACCATGAGTTGCACAAGTTATTTTAATTTTAGATGTTCTTGACTTGATGTCATAAAAGGAACTTCAGTAGGTACTACCTGTTCTGAAGTCATGCTTTAATTTACAATATAATTCTACAGATGTTTGCTTTGAAGTTGTCTGATCAAGAAGCTAGTCCCAAACCACACAGAATTCAGTGAAGCTTAGTTTCAAGCATTGGATTGACATTATAAGGCGTGGTCACATGTACTTATAAACTTCAAAGTAGCCTGGTGCATAGAATTAATGCTGAGTTGGAAAATAAACAATATTTGTGTGGTCAGTGCAGAAACTTTGACAATTTATTCTTGGTAATCTTAGATGATTGGCAGGAAGATTACACAGATGCTAAAACCTAAGGAAATGAAAGGTAGAAGCTATTTCACAGGGTAACTTGAAAAAGTAGCAAAATGTTTAACTCTGTCTTGGAGAAGAGCTGATGAATTATAATTCCATGCCTCCTGATCACAAAAGTTAGCTTTTGCCAACCTAGTTCTCTCCAGATTTGTTGACTAGTGGTCATGCTAGCTGAAGATGAATGGAGTTATAGAATAAAATATCGAAAGGACATTATGTTGAGGAAGGCTGGAATAAGCTCTCTCTCTCTCTCAAAAAAAAAAAAAAAACACCCAGAAACTTGAGGCCATCAGTGATCCATCTTTTACAAGATCATAAGAAATAAACAGAAGGAATAACACTAGAAGGGCTATAATTGTCCTGCTAGAAATCTGCATTGTTGAGAATTAACACAGATATTGTGATATTGTGAATTAGAATTAACACAGATATTGTGAAATAATCATGAGAATTTAAAATCCATTTTCCATATTTCAGCTTAATGAAAAAGTGCCCTAGAAACAGGAATTCCAAGAGTGAAAGGTTCTCATAATCTTAGAATACTAACCGAAACATGATGCAGTAGATCCTCAGTATCTGCTGGGGTTTGGTTGTAGGAAATCCTGCCCCCATGGATGTCCGTGGTGGATACCAAAATCTGTGGCTGTTCAAGTCCCAAAATCTATGGATGTTCAAGTCCCATTATATACAATGGCATAGTAGAAATTGTGTCTCTTATATAAAATGCAAAGTCAAGGTTTGTTTTTTTGGAATTGATATATCTTTTAAATATTTTCAAGCTACAGTTGTGTCATATGAAAGAATCCCTTGTCCCCACCTATTTGATTCATAAACAGACAGTCAAAGGCAAGCCTTTCAAGGCTATGCAAGTTCATTTCGGACTCAGGCCACTCAATCAGCATAGGAATAATATGTCCTGTGCAATTTAAACCTGTCATTCCCTGCATTCTGCAGTAACTGCAGCATAGCATAGAGCCATTGCAAGAGCCAGTATGGTGTAGTGGTTTAAGCATTGGACCATGACTCTGGAGAACAGGGTTTGATTCCCTGCTCAGCCACTGAAATCCACTGGATGACTTTGGGTAAATCGCACACTCTGAGTCCTGAAAATCCTGTGATAAGTTCACCTTAGGGTCACTATATATCAGAAATTACAATTTCTGGATTCAATTAAAAGGTTAATTGAATCCACATCCTTAATTCATAGAGGTGAACTGGCCAGGGCTTGTGCTGTGGGAGTTTTAGAGCTCCAGAAAAGGGCAACTTTTATGACCTCTAGAAGAAGACACAGATCAACAAGCTGGAAAATGTGCTCTGGACCACAACTTCCACTTGAGAATACCATTTCAGTTCAGGGTCCAAGAGCACTCTTCCATCAGACTGTGAACCATACAATCCCTCTAGATCAGGCAACTAATTCTGTTCTCTTTTGTTATCTTCACTTCAGTCTCATCTAGATGAAATTGCTGGACTGCATTTTCAACTAAACTGAAAAGGAGCTATCCAAGGAGATCAATCCTATCCTCCAACAGGTTCAACATCCTAGATAACACCTTTAAACTTTTGGCTGAGACTCAGAGTGGATTCATTGTCCCACTGTACATCTGCCCATAAGATTGTTGTACAGTCAGCCTTCCACATTTGCTGCTTTGACTTTTGTGGATTTGATTATTTGTAGGTTTTATTAATATGTTCACTCAAAGAATCTCTAAGTCCTCCAGTGCAACTCTGCTGGAAATTGATCATAGAGTTGTGCTGGAGGGCTTAGAGATTACTAGAGAAAACACTTCTCTAGGCATTTATACGTCCTCCAGCATGATTCTATGGTTAACTCTTCCAGATATTGACCACAGAGTTACGATGGAAGACCTAGAGATTCTTAGAGAGGTGTTCTCTCAGATAAAAACATAGTGTTTTTTATTTAAATTTTTCCTGTGCCCCTAACCCTAGCAAATATGGAGTGCCAACTGTGCATTATTTTAA